GAAAGTTCAAATTTATTTTCATCTCAAAGACAAGGAAATTCTCAATATATTTATCTATTATAGATGTGGGAAATTCAAATATATTCGTCCATTAACAACTCTGTTTATTATAGATTTGCTCAAAGACATGAGGAAATTCTCAATATATTAATATATTGATATTAAGGTCGTGGGCGAAACCTCCTTAGTAATTACTGAAACCACGGCAAAACTAGATTAAAAATCCTGTTGAAACTATGCCAAAATGGCGAAACCTCAAAATGCGAAACTCTGCCGAAACTCTAATAAACAATTAATGTATAACCCTGCTGATTGATTTCTGGAGGAGTTTCGGCAAGCAACCTTAATTGATATACTTAACAATCATATAATATAGAGTTTATATAATACATATCTTGATTACCACATACTATACAAGGACCGAAATTTTTTCAACCTTTATTCATTTTATTAATGATAAATGATAGAAATTATTATCTATTTAACGAAAGAATATGATGAATTTAATTTAGTGCGACGTATTTAACTTTAAAAAGGAGATTTTTTTCATATAGAATTGTTTAAAAAAGGAATTTTTCGAAAAAAAAAAAGTGTTACGAAAATGATTGCGTTGTGTATAAATATATAAATATATATATATTGATATAGTAGTTAAAGTTAACGTTAAGTTAAGCGCTGCCAAAAAGTTTTTTAAACGGATGGAAGAAAAGATGTCGGACCAATAAAAAAAGCTTAAGCTGACTATGAATTACATCCCTTCCGTCCCTTTGATTTATATAATGATAGATAAACTTATATTTAAATAATTAAAGCCACCGTTAAATGTTTCAACATTTTAATTAATTTATAAAAATAAACTTCTTAAATAGAATTAAACTTTAGTTTAAGAAATGCATTCTAAATTCGAGTAATAAAAATGAAGGAATGTTAATTGATCAAATTCATAATATTCTTTCGTTAAAAAAAAACAGATTATCTATTTTTTTATCTATGTGCTTCATTAAGACCATCTCTTCCACTGACAATGTAATTAGTGGAAGCCAAAAAATTGAATCAAATTGCTGGCCGTTTGTGCCATATATAAAACAAGCCCAACCGCGTTGTTGAGAACATATTTTCTGAAGGACAAATATACATTGCAATGAGCCGAGCTCCTTCGTTAAAAAACTTGAATATTCTCAGTTTTGACTCTGCTCAATTAAAGGTCTCTAGAGCAGCATTAGAAGAATATAAAAGATTGGGAAAGGGTTAATACTGAAGGGTTGCAAATTTGATAAGACGGTAAAAAAAAATTAATTTATCGTGTTATGGAACAAATCAATCTTTTCTACTCGCCACTGCATTTGTAAATTTTTTTTTTTGCAATATATATTTTTTAAAAAAAAAGCAAGCTATTTAATATTAATATTTAGTGTTAATTGACGTTTACTGCTCCTAAGAAGAAAAACAATCCGTCGTTTTGTCCTGTTTTTGTTTTATTATTATTAATATTGATATTAAAATACAAATAAATTCGTGTACGTGCCTCTGCTCATTCATTGTGACGTTTAACTTAAAATCTGTTTTATCATTGATTAGATTGCAAATATCACGATCACACAAATTATTTTCATTCTAAAAAAGAATAATGATAATCTGTGTATGATTATCAGATTGAATAATCTCGCCTTGAAAAAAATCGTATAAATAAAATCTTCAAAATAATTTTACAATAAAATTGCTAATAATTTAATTAATCAATAAATAATAAAATAAATAACAAATAATAATAAAAATGACAAAAGGACGTGTACTTCTTGCATACTCTGGTGGTTTGGATACTTCATGTATTCTTGTTTGGCTTATTGAACAAGGTTATGAGGTTCTCGCTTATTTAGCCAACGTTGGTCAAGATGAAGATTTTGACGCAGCTAGAGAAAAAGCTTTAAAAATCGGCGCAACCAAAGTTTTTATTGAAGTATGAAATTGTATTATTTATTATTATGGACCTATATATATATGTGACAATTAATTAATTGATTTGAATGTTTTTAGGATTTGAGAAGTGTTTTTATCGACGAATTTATTTTCCCTGCCATTCAAGCAAATGCAGTATATGAGGTAAAATTCAACTTGATTTTTAAAAAATCCATTATATATATTGCAAATTGATTAATGCTCAAATTATTTTTTGCTTATTAGAATATCTATTTGTTGGGCACTTCACTTGCTCGTCCACCAATTGCTCGTCGTCACGTAAACAATCTACTTTTTTAATTTTATTTTTATTAAACACGATTGATGATATTTAATTTTTTGTTTGGCTATTAGATTGAACTTGCAATTCAAGAAGGTTGCCAATATGTTTCTCATGGATGTACAGGAAAAGGAAATGACCAAGTTCGTTTTGAATTAGGATATTATGCTTTAAACCCTGATATCAAGGTTATTGCTCCATGGAGAATGCCAGGTTAATAATAATTATTAAAGTTTTAGATGAAATTTAAGTATTTAGTTATTTCAACAGCAACTAACAAGGAAGTTCTGTTTTTAGAATTCTATGAAAAATTTCCTGGTCGTCAAGCACTTCTTGCTTATGCAGCTAAAAAAAATATACCTGTTGTTCAAACAGCTGCAAAATCATATTCAGAAGATGGTAATTTGTACCATATCTCTCATGAAAGTAGGTCCTTCGCCTTTATCATTTTGTTGAATATATATATATATATATATAATTTTTATCAACATATTCAAATTGTTAACGTTAACTAAATGCATTTATATTTATATTGTTTTCAGGTGGTTTACTTGAAGACCCTGGATGCACCCCACCAAAAGATATGTGGAGTATGACTGTTGATCCAGAGGAAGCTCCTAATACACCTGAACATATTGTAAGATGATTTAAGATGATTTAAATATTTTCTTTTATGCGTTTTAAATATGTATATATATAATTTATATTAATCAATATAATTATATACATATTTATAGACTATTTATTTTGAAAAAGGGAACCCTGTTAAAGTTGTTAATCATAATGACAAAACAGAGAAAAGCAATTCGCTAGATTTATTTACATATTTAAACAAATTGGCTGGTTGTCATGGCATTGGTCGTGTCGATATGGTTGAGTCAAGATTTATAGGATTGAAATCTCGTGGATGTTATGAATCACCGGCGGCCACAGTATTGCGTGCTGCACATTTGGATCTTGAGGGAATTACACTTGATGGGCAAGTTCGTCATCTTAAAGAAGTAAATCTTAGTATTCCTTATGGCAGAGTTCTTTATAATGGCCTTTACTTTTCACCTGAACGTGAATTCCTTTCACATTCACTTGAATTCACACAACGTAATGTCAATGGTGAAGTTAAAATCAAACTATATAAAGGTAATGTCATCATTGAAGGCCGCAAAGCCTATGGGGTAGGATCTAAACTTTATGATATGAGAGAAAGCTCAATGGATGAACATGGTGGATTGACACCTACTGATGCTGGTGGTTTCATTAATACACATGCTATTAGACTTAGAAAATGGGTACCAGCTGATAAACAATAATATTTATAGAACTATTTTTCTAAAAATATTACTATATAGCGCAATTATTTATTAATTAATGTAAATATATATTTTATAATCTTTATTCCATTTTTATTTAAAAAATTATTATTTAATAAATTTGATTATTGTTATGACCAACTTCAACAGCCGCAGTGTATTAATGAAATTATTCGCATTTCATTCCCAATACACAACAAGTAGTACATTAATATTTCTATTATGGCCTCTATATAATTGACTCTGGCATGAGCTGAAAGGTAACTCATCGAACCCAGTAATATTATTTACAACTTTCAACATTATTGGATGATTTGGTATTAATGATGATTTCAAGGAATTTTGTAACTTTTAGCATTTTGGAATCATAGAATCGATGAGTAAAGAAATCAGTAAACGTTTGATAAACTTGCCTTGGATTTTTATGTTTTTAATAATTTGTAAATTGTTTTCTCGCGATAACCTCGTAAATGGACGTTTCTTTTTATAAATTCAGAATCAAACAATTAATTGTCGTATTGATTAAAAGAGTATATACGAAATTTGGAAATTCTAAACAATCTTGTTACGCGGTTTTTCACATACAACATCTGCGGGCCGTGATCTTGGTAATGGTGTGGTGGTGTGTTTTGATTTCTAAACGAGAATCTTGCTCCAAGTAATGCTGGTGGCATAACCAACGTCCTGTTTAGAAAAATACTGCATTTTTACATCATAGCCAAGGTTTCTCGGATTAAAAATCTTTTTTTTTTTTTGTATCCAAAGTTATAGAAATGATCACATACTCGATGTCCAAAATTCAACTCAAAATGATGTGCGGCACCAGCTACAGTATTGAAAATGTTGTCCCAACAGTGAAACATGGTGGCGGAGGCATAATGGTATGGGGGCGTTTTTCGGGAAAAGGGCTAGGTCCACTAATAAAAGTAGATGGAAAAAATGAATAGTCGTAACTATATAGAAATACTAGAATTGCATGTTTATAATAAATTTAATGGAAGAGGGTATTTGTTTCAAGATGATAGTGACATAAGAATCTGTTAAACAATCTTCACCTCGACTATATGCAATGGCAAAACTTACCTCAAACATCCTCAGTTCAGGAATCCAATTAAGAATTTTGTAATTGCGGAGACAGTTATAAAAGTTCGCCCAAATCCAAAACTGAAAAAAGCACTTATGGTCTATAAAATAAATTTTCACACATACTGACCTTTACAGACGAAAAGTAAGTATAACAAACTTTGTCCACAACAATGGTCAAAAAGAGTACGGTTGATAATCAAGTCCCTTTAGCCATACACCTATAAAACATACTTCTTAGGCTTTGTCAACCTATGAAATATGCTTTTTCGGATTCTCACCACCTACAAAACGTGTATTGCACGCGTTTTTTCGGCTTCTTGGCACCGGCCCCGTGCACCTCAAAACATAAATGTTTCTCAGATTCTCACCACCTACCAAAACACAATAAGTGTTTCTCGGTTTCTCGGCTTCTCGGCAGATCTAGATCTAAGGGAATATTAAAAATATTTCCTTCGACTTCGATCAGGGAAACTTGTATTATCAAGCATAGTAGACGCTGTTGCAGATCACAAAAACAACTATTTCATTGCCAAATTTTTGTCGATCTTATTCCAAATTATCTAATTCTGATTGGGTTTAAATAAAAAATCACAGCATTAAAAAAAATTTCATATATTTCATATACAAAAATCTCTAATTGTTACACGATATACCACTTAATATTATACTTGAATCTTAAGTTTTATATAGCAATTTTAAGAATCCAACGGTCCCTACATATTAATATAAAATATTTTATAAGAAAGTCCCTTTGAAACTTTGTATATTGAAACTTTGGGATTCTTATTATTTTATAAGATTCGTATAAGTAGTAGTTTTTAGGCAATTAGTAATCTGCGAAAAATTTGCGCCAAATTCTATTATGAAATTTTTGCAATTGTCTCACGTATCACAAATCAAGGTTTGGCAAATTATATGATCTGCGATCTGCAGTTCAAAAAATTTTTTTTACAGATAATAATGAATGAGGGAATAATTTATTATCATCATCAAGAATTTCAAGTGAGTAATAAATTTAAGTTTTGCTTTATTTTTTTTGTTATATAATATATGATGATAACAATTCACGACGGTCTTCTTAAACATGTTAAAGATTAAAAATGCCACTGGCAATTTATCTGATTTGATTAATTGATTGATTATATCATAATTTTCTTTTAAAAGAAAAAATTGTATTAACAATGTTATATATTATAATTTAGGGACTCGGTGCAATTTTAATCCATTTGCTTTATTTTTTTTGTTATATAATATATGATGATAACAATTCACGACGGTCTTCTTAAACATGTTAAAGATTAAAAATGCCACTGGCAATTTATCTGATTTGATTAATTGATTGATTATATCATAATTTTCTTTTAAAAGAAAAAATTGTATTAACAATGTTATATATTATAATTTAGGGACTCGGTGCAATTTTAATCCATGACTTCTAATAATAATTTATTGCTGGGTTACAATTTCTTCACATGGAGGAAATTCAATAGAAACGAATAAAGTGAAGCATAATAAATGTCTTATTTTTTGTGAGATAAAAACTATCTTATTTAAATCTCGAGAAAGAACGATTGCTCATCTGAAAAGAGAAAACATTGTCCTAAAGGAAAAGTCAATGACCAATAAAAACCATCGTAAGTAAATATAAAAGAAACTGTTTTTTTATCTTTATCTTTTTTTATTTTAAGTATGTGGACCAACTAAGAGAATGTTGGATTGATATTAATTAGAACGATACTAGGTCAAGACCTAGATGCTCAACTAATAAAAAATTATCTGGCTAAAAAACATTCACAGATCAGTATAATCAATTCGAGAAGAAATTAACAAATAATAGTTATTATTTTTATCATTTAGATGCTACTTTATTTAGCTGTCATTTTATTACGTTATTGTTAATCATATAGTAGAAAATTTTATTTCAGGCGACTTTTAGTGATTTTTTTTTAGTTAAACAATTTTTTTTTTTGTTAGCAACAACACCTTGCAATTGTTTATTTAATACATGATATGTTGTTATTTCAAATAATAAAAATAAACTAGCTACAAAGACATAATCGTCTGTTGGATGATGGCGTTAAATATTATTTATTAATTATCAAATTTACTAGTGTATATTAATATAATAAATAATATAATAAAAGTTACATGATATAATTTTGAAAGATTAACTCGAATGTATGTTATAACAAGATTTTTTTTCTAAGTATATTTTTATTCATTGAATTGATTTTTTTAATCACTTTCACTTCCGCTTTCACTGTATCTTCTTTCCTTTTCCTTTTCCTTTTCCTTTTCCTTTTCCTTTTCCTTTTCCTTTTCCTTTTCCTTTTCACTGTCACTGTCACTTTCGCTGTCACTGTAACTGTCTCTTTCTTTTTCCTTTCCCTTTTCACTATCTCTACCTCTGTCTCTTTCCTTTTCTCTTTCGCTATATCTGTCCCTTCCTCTGTCTCTATTCCTATCCTTTTCCCCATCCCTACCCCTATCCCTATCCCTCTCCCTATACCTATCTCTTTCTCTTTCTCTGTCTCTGTCCCTGTCTCTTTCCCTATCTCTTGCTCTATCTCTCTCACGCTCTCTTTCTTTGTATCGTTTCCATTCCTTTTCTCTGTCACTATCGAGATCTATTTCTCTGTCTCTATACCTGTCCCTGTCCCTGTCCCTATCTCTCTCCCTCTCCCTGTCTCTGTCTCTGTCCCTGTCCCTATCTCTGTCTCTATATCTGTCTCTGTCTCTTTCCCTATATCTTTCCCTGTCCCGGTCCCTGTCCCGGTCCCTGTCCCGGTCTCTGTCCCGGTCTCTGTCCCAGTCTCTGTCCCGATCCCTGTCCCTATCCCTGTCCTTGTCTCTGTCTCTGTCTATATCTCTTTCTTTGTGTCTTTCTTTGAATATATCCTTTTCTTTATCGCCATCTCTTTCCAACTCTCTTTCCTCATGCTTATCTCTTCGTAATTGTGTAGAATAGTCATGATTTCTTTTGTCGTCCCGTTCACGCTCGCTTTTTTCAAGTCTTTTTTGTCGTTCATCTCTTATTTTTTTGCGCTCTTCTATTTCTAATTCTTTTTGTTTAATACGTTCAAGTTTTTTTTGTTCTTGTAATTCTTTATCAAAGGCGGCGCCTTCAATATAAGTACCCGAGTCTATCCCCAAAGCCTTCATGATTTTTTCATTTTCAGCAGCTTTTGCTTGTGTAAGGTGATGAGTTTGATATTCTTGTAAACTGGTGTAAAAGTATTTGGAAAATCAATTAAATGAAATTATTTATTACACAAAAAATGTTCTGATTATTTACAGTTTAAAAAGAAAGAAAATTTACGAAACCTACGTTTTATTATCTTCAACAATATCAATTGAAGAAAGCAAAGCTTGACGATGC